GAATTTGCCTCAGCGTTTGTGTATTTTTATGGCATTTTTAAGGGGGAAAAAAGATGTCCCCCTCACTTCCACTGAAGGAGTGCGGCTTGGTATGCGCCGTACCCCCCACCAAAGGTTCGTTAGTTGGTATGGTCGAGCACACGTTATAAATAATAAAGAAATTGAAAGAAATCGACCAAAAAACGCACTAAATCACTAATTAAACTAATTTAAAGTTGACGGATGGGAAAACAGAATAGCGCTTGCTCACCACGTGGCTTAAGGCGTGGTACCTGGATATGTTTTTTTTATGTAAACCCCACGGTTCGTGAGCCAAATCCTTCGCAAGTTGCGTGTCCACAGACAGACGGACAGACATAGACAAAAAATGATGTTCATAGGTAAGATACATGTTTCCCTCACTTTACTTGGTTGATACATTTCATAAAATGGCGCACATTTTAAGGAATGCAAACAGTACAGTAATAATAAAAATGTATAAACAATATATAATCATTTATCTTTGTATATAAAAGGGAAATTTGTGAATGTGTGTCTGTTCGAAATGTTCATCATACTTCCCAAAATGCAACAAACTTGAAATTTGGAATGTGGGTAGCTTCCAGAGTGTACACAATGGAAACAGTCTAAAAATAGACTTTTGTATTTGTGTGAGGGGGGGAGGGGTCGCAATGTGGCAGCGTTATGCAGTGTGCCTGCTGACGTCACGCATCCCCCCCCCTACCCTCCGCGTAGGACGTGTATTAATCCAAGACAAGAATCTCTCGGGCGAAGCCGGGTAGTAAAGCTACTACTTTATAAAGCGCTTCAAGCAATTGTTCTCAGGGCGCTATGCGTGACAAGGCAGAAATAATTTAGCATCAACCAAGGAATGAAGAAGAAGTGAGGAAGACTTTTGAAAAATAACTAAAGTGAGAGAAAGCCATTTTAAACATTCTAGATTTGAAGCTTTCGTAACTGCAATGATTCATATTCTTAGGTTTTTTCGGTAAAGTCACGTAGGTAAAAACATTAAAAAGTAAAATAAAATAAAAATCACGACGTTTCGGAGGCAACACAAGCTTCCGTCTTCAGATGGTACCGTCACAGCCACGACAGCTGCATCAAGTAAATGAGAGATTGCAGGAGCTACCACTGCGTTTATATAATGGCTGGAGAGACGTGTCCAACGTCTGGTAGATGCGTTCTTAAGAGTGCCACGTTAAGCGAAAACAATTTCCCAATGAGTAAATGGCCGAGTGCTTTCTACACATTAACATGTTAACGAAGTTGGTTGAGATGCGACGTACTACGCCCACGCAGCGAGATGGCGGGACGAACAACTGAAGGTGCTCCGCCACATGATTGTATCATTCCACGTACTTTATTGTACCGCTCAGCCATGCCAATCAGGAAAGTAGTTCGTCGTCGATGGTCACGTTGCCTAATCAGAAGGGCTGATGGTTGGGGTGTATCGAGTTGCACTGGTGTTCGACCACTCCGAGTCCTGGCTGTTAGGGATGTCAGCTTTTTATTACCCCGAGCTGACACCGACCGCCCCAGGCAGAGGCGTTACAGCCGTGGAGCAGGCTACCAAAGAACATCAACCGAATAAGATTCAATACAAGATCACCCACACACATCCACTCACACCTACAGTCCCTATCGCTTTCCCGGAGACACACACAGAAGCTTTGGGGGGGGGGGGGGGGTCGTCCACCTCCCCTACGCAACTCTGCTTCCCACAGACAGTGGGAGATGTCCGTGGGCAGCCCAGCAGCCACCCCGATAACCCAATGGCAACCGACTTCGCTCTCGGCCAGTGCCAGGCTGCAGCTCGCTTGCTTCCCTGCTCCTGACGCTGCTGGCATGCTCTTGGGGTCCCAGACGTCCCACCGGCCCTGGTTCACTCCACAGCTCGGCCGCTGGAAACATAACAATTATAATACCGTCACCTAATGTTTCCCTGTTCGATATCTATTGAGTTGGAGACAGCACTCAGCTCCTACTTAGTGACGATCCCCTGGTCCTTACTCGTGTTGCACCTTGAGGGTGGGAGATCGCCCAGCCACTCCTGCTGCTACCGCTGCAGCCGCAGCCACCGCCACCGCAGACACCGCTGCTGCTGTTACTTCTGAGTTGCGCCCCCACTGCCGATTCGGGCACTCCTTTTATAGGGCTGCGCAGCCTATTGTTTGGTCCCTGGGCCAATCCCATGAGAGGGGTCCATCTATAAATAGCCGACGTTTCCCTCGACCTGGTTGGCGTGTTCTCCACCAAAACCCGTCCCCACACTGGTCTGACCACACTCTCTCCAGCTCACGGGGTACGCTTCACACACTACGCCACAGTCGACTGCTCAGAAACCACGTTAGAATTGAGCGCGTCACACGTTGTGCGAAAAGTGTTCCCAAATAGGAGAACCGCGTTGCAGCGAACATGCCGTGTGTGAACACCACACGTGTCAAGTGAGGACTTATAAGATCGTGATTTGTGAGTAGGAATAGGTTAGCCGCATATACAGTGCGAAATCGCACAAACCGAACCCCAACAGAGCAAGGAAAACCTGTATTTGAGATGGCGTGACCCGAGCTGGAGGGCACGCAAACACAATGGGTTGGTTGCGATTGCTCCCTGGAGACATCTATTAGTGAATGGTTGAATTAAAATGTGGGTATAATAACAACAATAGTACAGCAATCATCATTGTTATTCTATTGTTTATTGAATGCAACATATTAGTCTCTCTCTCCTCTCATAGCTCGAGAACAAAACAAAACTCTGTGTGTACGATTGTTGTCTTTCCCCCACCTCCGACTAGCACGGTTGGCAATGTACGGTACAAAAGAAGTTCAACAAACATACATAGAGTGGTAGTTTTTTCTTGTTTCTGCTCTCACGCAAACTCCGGTCATCCCCACAGCGGCTTTGGCTAACCATCAAACAATGACGGTCATTGCTTCACACGATTTCAGATGCGCCTCTGTGGCCGTCTGGACTGCTCTTCCTTTCCGATATTTGGAAGCTACGCACTTTTACATCTACATTGAAAACGCCTTTATTTTAAACTGAGATTTTCGTTTATATTGTTGTCCTTCCCCCACAACTCCGATGAGGGCAGTTGGCTACATAAGTCGCAAAAAAGTTCAACATACAATATGTATGTAATAAAACAGCAATCATCATTGTCATTCTATTATTGGTTGAATTAAAAATGGTTGTCCCTCTCTCTTCTCGAAACTGTAAATAACGCAACGAATAGCTAAACACCGACAAACATGCTAAACATCCTGTCTTCAAAATAGCAACACAATCTCACACGTTTCGTATACAGCAGTGTGTGGCTTTAAAAGGACAACAACATATTGTAGGCGACGTTTTGGACAATGATCCTTTTTCAAAGCACGTGAATAAGGGTCATAGCACGAAACGTCATGGCACATGAATAAGGGCCATTACTCAAAACGTCACCTATTAGATACGTTTCCATTTGAGGTCACGCACACACACACACTTTGTTATTTCTGAATTAGGGGTTGTTCGGGTGCGCTTGTGGCGCCCCCCTCACAACCATTTACGGCTTTCGGCCAGGAAAGTCACAAAAAAATTGCACACGAACGACGCATTCACGCAAGCACCTGATACTCCGTTTTGAAATTTTAAAATAAAGTTTTTTGAATTGTATGTTTTGAATTAGATAATTGTATTTCTTCATTAAGAGCGTATATCATTTTAAATCTGGAAGACTTCATTGACAGCGACATTTCGTGTGAATTTTCTCTCGTCGTTAAGTAGATGCCCTTGCTGGGGGTTCGGTTTGATGCGGACTTTCACCTGTTTGGGATTGCGGGATCGAGATAAGGCGACATAGACCTGGCCGGGCGAGAAAACCGCCGTCTGCAGATTGATTCCAACGTAATCGAATGTCTGTTCCTGCGCTTCCATCGTTCATGCAGGGGGCGCGTAGGTTTGCAGTGACCCCTGCATGAAAACGATGGAAAGTGCAGCGTTCATCACAGATAGATAAAGTTGTGCGCTTATATAAGAGTATGCTATGAGTATTATTGTGTTCTTCATTGTGCTTGTGCACCACTGCCAACGCACAGCAGCATAACCAAATAATTTATGTTCCAAAAGAAAAGTGTTATGGTTTCTGAAAACTGCCTGCTGGGCGATCACTGCCGCACTGCCGTCTGCGAGTCGGAAGGCAAAAGACGACGAGTGACCATCAAAGAGCGCGTAACAGTGCGTGCTTGGACAAAGCAAAGAGAGAGAGAGAGCGAGAGAGATGGTTGATCATGCACGTCACACATCATGCATCCACCCATTGTGTCGAACGGAGGACACGTGCCCTCACATCGCCGTGACCGCCAGGCCCTGAAACGAGGATATGACTCCACAGGGACAGACACAAACACGGCGATTAACAAGAAAAAAATCAACGAACGCTCTATAGTGCACGAAGAACACGGAGAGATTCATGCTAGACACGCATGGGAGACAGGCAAGAGGAACACGTGACTCAGAAAACACACGCAAGTTAGAGACATCGTGTCGGCCGTTCAGACAAGTCGACAGAAGGGATGGTGGCCGATGGGCGAGAGTAACGGCTGAGTTGCAGCAGGAGGAGGAAACACGCGGGTCCATGTAGACACTTTCATATATCCACATATCCAGCTGTTGCCGCTACATTTCAGTTGGGTGGCTGCTGCAACGTCACACACACGCAGTGATGTACATTTAGAGGAGGCGTCCAGCGCGGACATTGAGCATTCGATATCAACTCGTGTGCAGAAACGAGGTGGATCGGTGCAGGGCAAGAGAGACGGCAACGTCTTGTTGGGGAGGAGGGGTGGGGAATGGGAGAGGGTGGGGGTGGACAATGGGGGGATGGGGGGGGGGCTTTCATCCAGCAGTGGATGCTCATTGCTGTGCTCCTGCCAGCGCCACCGCTGATCATGAGGCTAACGAAGACTGTGACGATGCGATTCGGGCTCGGTGATCAGACTCGGTCGAGTCCGTCACGCTGGCCCCTCCTTGAAGTTAAACAGATCCGCGCTTCGGATCCCCGGCCGGAAGGCGCTGCACGTGACGAGCAGGCGAAAGGCCCAGCGGAAGGACCTGTTGAAGGCCGCGAACAGGATGGGATTCACCGTCGAGTTGAGGTACGTGAACCAGTTGATGACCTCCCAGGCCACGGGGCCCGCCTGGTAGCCGACCATTGGCTCCGTGGCCGAGACCACGAAATAGGGCATCCAGATCGCGATGAACATCCCGATGATGATGCCCAGCGTGATGGTGGCGTTGTGGTCGCGCTTCATGGCATTCCACTTACTCAGGCATTCCGCGTCGCCGCTCATCTTCTGCACCTGCGCGCCCAGGCTGTTGATTTTGCGCGACTGCACCCGGGCCAGGCGGTAGATGCGGCCGTACGCGAGAGCCATGAGGAGCATGGGCAACACAAAGGCGCACGCGGTGTTGGCGACGGCATAGGGCAGATTGAGGATCACCTTGCAGTCGTCGGGACAGCTCCGTCTCGTCTCCTCCTCCATCCCTACCAGGTTCCACTGCAGCATGAAGACAAGGCCGTCTATCGGGAAGCTGATCCAGGACAGGGCGAGCATCGCCGCCAGCGCCGCGTGCGTGATCCTGTCGCCGTAGCGCAACGGGTCGCTGATGGCCACGTAGCGGTCGAATGAGATGCAGCTGAGGTGGACGATGGACGACGTGCAGAAGGTGTAGTCGAGCCACGTGTGGACCCTGCAGAAGACGCGGCCGTAGAACCAGCAGTTGTGCACGGAGCGCATTGCGCTGAAGGGCATGATCAGCAGGCCCACCAGGAGGTCCGCCACGGCGAGAGACAGCGTTAGGACGTTGGTGCGAGTCTGCAGCTGCCTGAAGTAGAGGATGGACGTGATGGTGAGGAGGTTGCCCGCGACGGTGATGGCGCTGATCGAGAGGAGGATGGCGAGGAGGGTGGCTCGCTCCGCTGCCGAGAGGTCGCTGGACGTGCAGCTGAATTGGTGGAAGGTCCACACGCACCGCCTCGATGAATCATTACTACCCGACTCGTTCATTGTATTGTCTGCCTCCCCGGTCACATTATTTTTTAAATTATATTATTAATCATTCGTTCTACCGTTGAACTGTTTCAATGGATATTGTTCTGTAATTTCGCTTTCAACTTTGTGGAGATTCGAATGGGCTACGGTGATACCAAATAAACCCTAAACGGTCAGCAAGAAAGAAACATCTCACTATACAGAATGCAAGTTTGCATTTATTGTTTGTTAGGAATGCGTGACCTAAGCTGGAGAGCGGCGAATACCATTTGATGGAGATATTTACTGCGCGAAGTCTCCGCTAGAGACAGCCACTTGGCAGATGGATTAATTGTAACTTGGTTTTCAACATCTTCATGCTCCTGTTACACCAACGGCAACGCTTATGGAGCGCTCTTATGAAGCCACTGGAGCTATGCACTTTTAAAACTAGATTGAAAACTAATTTATTTAGAACTGTTTCTTGTGTTAGTTTGTTGTCCTTCCCCCACACCTCCGATTATCACGGTTGGCGACGTAGGGTGCGAAAGAAGTTCAACATACAGACATACCAGCAGCCACACACACACACATCTCACTCACCTCTCACCTGAATCCGACTTTCTATTGTAGTACATCTCCATAATCTCACCAAAACATAGACCAAGATGAGATAATATATACTGTAGATATATTTGAATATATAACACACGGACAAATAGGCGTGTGTAGCCTACACAGTCTGTTGGGGCAAGGGCTGTTAAGCGTGCACCTGTGAATGCGGGCACGGCGCGCCTATGAGGCCGGTCATGTTCTCAAGCACCACGCTTGCCCAACCGCCTTTGTCTCTCAAGTGTTGATGTTTCAGGTACTCTACCTAGGTGGAGATCATGTGCCGGTATCATCTATCACCTACCGCCTGGTGCGTATTTAGCTCTGGTTCAGAATCGAGCTCATGTGGAATATATATACAAACGCATACACACATACATAACACAGGAGTTATTCCCCAGCGAATGGGGAATTGACGCCCCTGAGAGAGTAACAACACTCTCAGCTAATTGTCTACACACCTGTGTCCAAAAGCGCCCTCTCTGCAGGCTGCTTTTAAATAACAGGATATATAATTACCTCTGGGTAGCCATGCGGGAACTCGTAAATAGTTGTTTTGAAATGCCTTGCAGTTGAGCGCCATTGCCGTCGTGATTTACTAACGAGATGGTGCCGTCAACCCTCTATCCGCGAGGGGTACATTCTTGAAAACGGTCGCGGATGCGGGGATTCGCGAATGCGGAAGCCTTGCTACGATGGGAAAACTGGGGTTGCGTTCCTGGTACGAGTGAACATCGCGGAGGGGAGTGTTGGGGGGGGGGGTAACTGTTTAATAACAAAGACTACCATTTTCTTGGTTCTTTTGGTAAAGTCACGTAGAAGGGAAGTAATAAAATAATACAAATAAAAAAATAAAAAAAATTATTCTCACGACGTTTCGGTCACAACGCAAGCAGCCGTCCTCAGGTGAAAACCAGGTCTGTCGGGGAGACAGCGTCTGAATGAAACAGCACACGAGCTTGGAGCATATATATAAGCTGGGTTGGAAGGGGGGGAAAGGGCGCTTCGACAAAATAATTTGCATATCAAGAGGAATTTTGCATATTTATGGAAAATGCACGAATGTGATTAGTACTACATATGCCCGTGCATTATGCAGGACTAGCAGCATCAAAGGGAGGGGATATGGGAAATGCAGGTATGTGAATAGTACTAATTATGCCCGTGCATTATGCAGGATTAGCAGCATCGAAGGGAGGGGATAGGGGTAGCATTAATAAAGGGAAGGAGTGTTAATAGTATGTAGCTGCAGTAACTAAAACCAACACGTAAACAACTAAAGTATAAACTACATAGTATCATCAGTATACTTACTGTACTCTACAATAAGCTGAGTTACTAACAGTAAGTAATACATTACATTTCTACGTCGTAAAAATTATATAATATGCTTCCATCTAAACTTTATTCTCTTACATCACACGAGTCTACACCGTACTATATACTGCCATACACAAACCCAACATTAAATTATATACTGTATTGCTATAAACCACCTTATACATTTTAATATAACACTATGTATTATTCTACCCACCCTAATGTATATCACACTGCTATATATTCACTATACAATTACGATACTATATATTACTTTGAACATTGTATTAAGCATATAAATGTCATACTATTTGTTATTATACACTGTACCATTGACCGTCGTGTCAATGGTTTTCACCTGAGGACGGCTGCTTGCGTTGTGGCCGAAACGTCGTGAGAATTATTTTATTATGTTTTATTTTTATTATTTTATTACTTCCCTTCTACGTGACTTTACCGAAAGAACCAAGAAGATGAATCCCTGCAGTCACGAAAGCTTTAAATCGAAATTTAAGACTACCATTAATAAATAAGGCATTATAAAGAACGATGTTTTTTTATGACCTTTCATGATGGTGATGGTGAGAGGAATTCAGGAGGATGACTCATCGGGAGATGCGGGGTGTTTAACAACAACGCCGCACAGTTATCATTTTAGCACTCTAGGGGAGCGCTAGCTGGAATACTTTCCCCTGATTGAATTTGCGTCATTTTGAATGGACCTCACAGTCGTCGCGTTTATAACAACGTGAATATACAATATCGAATTCAGAGCGGGATTATGCTGAGATTGAGGACAACGCGGGCAGCCGAGGAGCTGTGTCTAATCTTCGCAGGCAGTTTCAAATGTAACACAATCCTGCGTCGATTCGCTAGTTTTGGACTCGGGAGTGTGGCATATTTCGCGAGTTACTAAATGTCAGTAACTCGGTGTCTGCTGGACATCTGTGAAAAAAAGCTTCACAGCTCATCAGATTCCTCCCAGTATAAATACAGATCCTGATTCTGATCAGATGCAATGCCCGACGTGCAGGCACAGGGGGGCATTGTCGCGTGAGATATAAAAAATTAACCCGTAAAAAGAAAGTTTTTCACTATAAATACTTTATATGCGTGGCATCGGTTGTATTTTATTATTCATTTCTGTTTTTCTTGAGTAAGAGTTTCATTTTTATCACATTGGTGTTTTAAATTAAATATAAGGAAAGTCGTATATAAGGATTATAAGGTTTTAAGTTTTTGTATGATTGTTTATATTGTACATTTTTGTTGTTTTCTTGAATAATTTTCTGTGTTTACGAAAAATATATGATTGTGTTAGTGACATTTTTTTTCTTGCTAAGAAGTGGAAAATTTAGGAATTTTTTTTCACAAAAATAAATTGTCACGCACAACTAGTCTGTGTGCAAAATGTCAGCTCGATTGGATCACGGGAAGTGGGTTAAAAACGACCGAAAGATTTGCACGGTCGTAAGCGCGCAAGCAAGCAAGTGAACTTAATATAAAGGATTTAAAAAGGTCACATGTTTCATAACTGACGTTTGGGTCAGATCGGGTGAGTCTAACGCGTGCTGTGTGCCCTCCTCCACCCGGCACAGCCGATTAATTCTGTCGCAAACAGGAAGACGCCATACAACTTGCGTTTGAGGAGTGGTCCCTGCCATGAGTGTCTTTAATGTTTAACCCCATTTACTTGCTCACTCACTCACCGGCAGTTAGTCGCCCCCTTATCACTCTTCTATTGCGACTACAACTACCACTGTTCCCGTGAACTTCACTCATTGATTCATCCACACAGGTTGAATACTCGGTCTAGCAGACTGACTGTTTCACGTTCAACCACCATTCTGCTGGTCACAATAAAGAAAAAGGTCCCCCCTATAGCCTTTAATAGGCTGTCGGGTCAAGTGCTGGTAGCGAGTACCTATGAAGGCCGGCACGGCACACGATGGTGTGGTGGTTGGTCAACACAACACTCGGACGCCTTTGTTTCCTCAGAACAGATGTTTACACACCACACCAGTTATTAATTTTTGACTGAGTCTACCTAGGGGAGGCCCGAGTTGGTTCAAATATCTGAAGTACCATTGATGACGCTTGGACACCGTTGTTGGGCACACATATTTATTCGTACAAGTAGTCACACTGCGGACATACAATACTAGAGGGGTGTATCAGCCCCCTCACCCGGATAGCTGGGAATACTCTACTAGCTACCCCTGACCTACCTCCTAGTCCTCCACTAACGGGCTAGGGGAGGCTATCTGGCCCGACACTGGTCAGTCGGGCTACGGTACCCGGAGTCCCAGAGTACTAACTCTGGTTCACGGGACCCTGCCACTGGCTCGGTCCTGCGCGGCCCTGACAAGGGCGGCGTCCCAGGGGAGTCCAGGGCCTAGCTAGTCGATCTTCCGTCTTCCCTCCTTTACTCTAAAACTGAACCCTGAGCTCTCCGGCTCATCCCCATTTATACCCCCCGGAGGATCACAACCCCCCCCCCCCCCCCCGGGCAGCCCCCCAGGCCGCCCGGTGCGGACGTCGTTGCGGGCACCTCCCCGTGTACTCACGGAGCCCCGCCCACTGTGTTTGTTACCCGTGTGATCCTATGCATACAGCCCCTCTGTAACAGCCCTACATCACCCCCCCCTGTACAGCTCGCAGCCGTCCCGGCTGCAACAATTTCAACAAAGGTTTATTAACCCCTTGACCTCCGCGTGTGCCTCAAAAAAACAATTTTTTAACCATAACGTGAAGAGAACAACAACAAGAACCAACACACCGCGAGTGGAAAATAACCCGACGCCCCCCCCTGAATAAATACGAATTCCGTAAGAGCAACGTATATACAATTAGCAAGGAACCCCCAGCACACACATAACACAACACAATGTGGCAGGAGCACCCCACCGACGCAGCGCACAGCAACCATACACGTGAAAATAATTATTTTTTTTTCTCTTTTTAATGCATCACAAGAGTCTGCACATTTTTGCGCGCGTCCTTGCCGCATGCCCGTCACACGGGGCAACCCCGGATGGCGGACCATCCGGTGGCAGCTGTCCATTTTGAAGTGAGTCTGTGCTTGACGTCGCGAGACCCTCGGC